CGCGGGGTGCCGCAGGGCGCCCGCACCGCGGCCGCCGCCTTTGTTGCTTTTGTGAAATCCCCCAGCGCGTGGCGTGGCCGTGTTGGGGTGACAGGGGACCGCCCATCCTCCCCGGCGAGTCTGCGGGGTGCCGCATGGTAGCCGAAGGCGGACGCCCCGTCTTCCTCGGGCCGCTGTGCCAGTACTTTCCTCCCGCGGAGGCGGATTCCTGCCTGGCCTGTACCCGAGCCGGCGGCACAGCGGTCAGCCGAAGGCAGGGGCCGCACCGCGGGTCCTCGGGCTCCTCAGGCCCCAGCGCTGACTCAGGACCTGGGCTTGCCCGGGCCGGCCAGGCGGGGCGGCCAGGGCAGGGGCGGGGAGCCCGCGCCCCACGGCTGTTCCTTCAGGGTGAAAGTGGGCGGGGCCAGTCACCCCCCTTCCCGCAGGCTGGTCCTTGCCCCCAGCTGTCTGGTGAGGGCGGTGGGCAGGTGTCTCCACCCAGGGAGGCTTATTGGCCTCACCTGCACACCTGCCGAGCCGAGCCGGAGGGCCTGACCCTGCCTCAGCAGCCCTGCGGGCAGCGGGGCGGGCACAGCCCGGCCACTGTCCGCTCTGTGCCTCCCGGCAGCGCGCGCCTGTGCCAGGAGCACCCCGTCCCGAGATGGCACCTCCGTCAGGTGATCCCCTCGGCCCAGCGCCACCTTCACCCTCAGCCCGGTTCCTTCCAGAACTGACTGGCACCTGGCTGGCTCCCACCCTCATCCCAGGGGGCTGCAGGCCGTAGGCCAGCGCCGGACGGCTCTGCGTGGGGGTGGTCACACGAAGGGGGGCGGAAGGTGGGGACCCCAGCAGGCAGCTGGGTTTGGGCTAAAGATTTCTGAGGTCCCGGATGAGGAAACTGAGTCTCAAAGTGCTTATGGGGTGTGCGAGGTCACTGAGCTGAAGGCCGTGCTCCCCGAGAAAGGACCTGGGCACTGCCCCCCGCCCCTGGCCAGAGAGCCCAGCTCCGCACCCCTGGGCTGGACAGCTGCAGCACGCTGCCCACGGCCGGGCTGGGGTGCGAGGCGGGGGCTCCACGGGAACCCCTTCTTGGGAGCCGCGCATGGTAGGGGGTGCGGGGTGTCTTGGCTGCGCCGAGGCTCCCGGGAGCGGTGGCCTCCCCCTGCAGGTGGGCCCGAGCGGCCAGGTGCCTGCTCCGCTCGCAGCTAGCTGGGGGGGCGTGGGGGGTCCTGGGGACGCGTGGCGGGGCTGGGGGCTCTGGTGGGCGCCGGGCTGGCGCGCGAGGCACAGCCGGGCGGTGAGCTGCAGGGCCGGCCTGGGCCGGCTTTCCAGGGGCGCGGGGAGCCCCTCCAGGGCAGCTGAGTGCCCCATTCTGAGCACTGGTGCTCTCACCGCGCCCCGGGTCCCACAGCCCAGGAGAGCAGGTATCTCCCCGGACTCGGGGTCCCTTGGGAACCTGGTTGTCTCTGGGCCTGCAGCCCCACCGGTGGCCCCTGCTCTGAGACTGGGGCTTGAGACTTGCCACCCCGAGACTCTGTCCCGACACCCCCCGCACGGCACATTCCCGGCAGGCAGCAAGGGTGAGGACAGGGCTGGAGGGAGATTTGAGGTGCAAGCTGGAGGTTTGGCTGATGCTAGGAAGGGGACGCAGGGAAAGGGGTGTTGGGGGCAGAGGTGGGCGGGTCTCCTGCCTTATAAGGGGGGCGCGGGTCAGGAGACCCTTGGGGGTCCCGCGCCCTCCCGGTATGTCCACCCCCCCCAAGCCCAGTGCCGCCCTCTCCCCGGGGTGCCACCCGACCCCGGGTCTGAACGTCTGGCATCCTCGGGCGCTGGCTGGGGGCGCCAGGGCCCCGCAGCCCTGGGGCAGCTGTGTGGAAGCCCCAGCCCCTGACTGCTGCTTCTGCCCCCCGCACGCGCAAGGTGGTCGTGAAAACCAAGACCGAGTACGAGCCGGATCGCAAGAAAGGCAAGGCGCGGCCCCCCAAGATAGCGGAGTTCACCGTCAGCATCAGCGAGGGCGTCACGGAGAGGTTCAAGGTGAGTGGGGGGGGCCCCGAGGGACCCCGAGACCCGCCCGGTCCGCCAAAGCCTGTGCGCACCCCGCCGTCCTCGCCCGCCTCCCAACGCGCCGTTCTCTAACGGGGACACCTGCCAGAGGCCGGTGCCCTGCGGGGGGCTGCTGCCATCAGGGAGCCCCGGTTTGCACAGGGGGAAGTCGAGGCACAGCTGCACGCGGCGGGCCAGGCCCCGGGGCCGTGTCTGAGCTCCGCCCACGCTGTGTCCGCCGGGGCGGGGCCGGAGCCGTCTGTGGCTCTGCGCGTGCGCGCAGGCGGGTCTGGTGCCCTGGCTGTGTGGGAGCCGGTCGGGTGGGCCCAGGGCGCGGTTGGGGGCGTCGGCAGCTGGCCCCTTGCCCCGTCCGCCCAGGGCTGCCCCTTGCAGGGCAGTGGGGACCTCGTGCCGGTGGCTCCTCGAGCGCCCTGGTTCCTCCCCAGGGCTGACCCGGGCTGACCCCGCTCCGCGAGGGGACGCAGCGTGGCCTCGCCTGCCGCAGGCCCGTGAGCGCAGGCTGTCGCGTCCCTCTTGCATGCTCACGCGTGTGGTCCCCAGGTCCCTTGTCTGGGTGCTGGTGACGCACACGGGCCCCCAGGGCCTGCAGCCAGGGCTGGGCGTTGCTGGGTGTGGCCACGGGGCTCCTGGTGCGGCCAGCAGGCTGGGCTGCGGTGGCCGAGCGGGCTGCGAGGTGAGGCGAGCAGGTGGTGCTCACAGGGCGCGCCCAGAGCCCACGGTCAGCCTCCTGTGCTGACCGCAGGCCTGGCCAGTGCTTTCTGGAAGGCTTCGTGGCATGAGGTGCTGGAGTCCCAGGGGGAGGACCCCCTCAACTCCCCAGTTCTGCCTGGAGACCAGCGCACTCCCCCACTCCCTGCGGGCCCCGGTCTCCAGTGCCCCCCTTCCTTCCAGCTCCTCTAGTGTCAGCTCGCCTGTCACCTCCTCCGTGCAGCCTCCTGGGATTGGCCCCTGGCTTCCCCCACCCTTTATAAGGCGGCAATGACAGCCTCTAGCAGTTACCTGGTGTGGCCAGGAGCTGGGCCCTGGCTCGGCCTGTTGAGCTTCATTGTCTCACAGCAACCCCAGGAGATGGGCCTCGAATGACTGGGGACTTGGGGAGACCCCAGGGTCTCCATCTCACCAGCGTCCGTCCTGGGGCCCCTCTGTGTGTTAACCCTTGGTTCTCACCTGTGGGGCAGGTGACCTGCCCAAGGTCACGGTCAAGGACAGAGCAGGAGCTGAGGCCGGCCGGCCTGCTGTGGCCGCTCCCGCCCCAGAACCCTGGTGCGCAGGGCTCCTGCCGCGGAGCGCAAACCGGGCCGCCTCCAGCACTATCCCTCCTGTCCCTGGTGCCTGACTCCGTTCCCAGGGGCCACTCAGCCAGCACCCCCATGCCACATGTGCAGTGACAGGTGTCCAGCTGGCCGACACAGGGTGCCGCCGTCCTTCATGGGCCAGGAGCGTCCTAGCCCAAGGTCAGAGCGGGCTGCAAGGGCGGCAGCCTGGGGGGTGTGAGCAGTGCCACCCTCTGGAGCGCCGTCAGCTCTGCCCGGTCTTGTGGCGGCACCCCAGTGCGTGGGAGGCCATGCTGGTCGCGTGAGGGGCTCTCGGAGCCGGGCAGTCCCCGGAGGTGCTGCCCCGGGGCTGCAGGTCACCTGGCTGGGCGCGGTCACAGCTGCGCGGGGGAGAGCAGCTGTCTCGTCCTTCCTGAGGGGCTGAGTCTGCCCCCGGCTGAGCACCCTCCAGAGGCGGCCCCTGGCCTCTGGGGGCTGCTCGCAGCCAGGTTGGGGTTGCTAGGTAACGGCGCCGGTTGCTGTGAGTCACCCCGGGACTGGGCTTCCCAGGGGCTTGGCTAATTGGAGGTGTGTTTACGAGAACTCCGCTCAGAGGGTCCCCGCGCCCGCCCGCTGCGGCCGCCCGCCCTCTCCCCGCCTGCAGGGCCGGGGCTCAACCCCCAGCCCTCACCGGCATTAGGAGACCCCAAGGTCAGCCTTGCGCAGAGCTGCAGGGCGGCCCCAGGGCCGGCCGCGGGGAGGCTCCGTGCGCCCCGTGACCTTGAGCGAGCTGGTCCCACTCCCAGCAGCCCCCTCCTGTGATTCCGTGGCGGGCTGCGACCTTCAGCTGAGCATCTCGGGGCGGCCCCCAGGCGGCAGAGACCCCGGCTTTCTGGCCACTGTGGCTGTGGGCCCTCGGCCAGCGCCCCCCATCTGCAGGGGTGTCCCGGGGTGTGCCGGTGTGGGTTACTTAAAATACTCAGCGCCGCAGAGGCCACAGATGCCGGATCTGTCTTATTTTTCCGAGATTTTTTTGTCGACTGCGTGACTCAGCAGAAAGGCCCATTTCCTCCCCACGCCCCCGAGGGTGGGAGCGCAGGGTGACCCGGCCCCAGGGCTCCCCGCTGGACCCTCCCGTCCGCCATCTGAGGGACAGCCCCGCGGCTGACCTTGCTGTCCGACACTGGGGGAGGCCCGGGGCAGCACGGTTAAGGGGTGAGCTCAAGGTCGCCCAGTCACTCGGGCTGAAGTAGGCTCAGCTCCATTTTCACCCGGCACCCTGAGGTCGCCACGCCGCCTTCTGCGCCCGCCGCTGACTGGGGCCCCCTGTGCAGTCACCCACGATCCGTGCTGCAGCTCGACCTCCAGGAGGTCCGGCCAGGGGAGGCCCCTGCCAGAGCACATGGTGGGGGGCGGGGGGAAGGAGGGAGATGGGGCCATGCGAGCCCCTTGTCTGCGGGGGTGGGGGTGACTGTGATTCCACCTGTGGCGGCCAGTTCGAGAATGGACATGTGGACTGAGCCTTGCAAGTTGTGTCCCCAGACAGGGACACGTTAGGGGTGACGGTGGATGCCGTGTTTGGGCTGCAGGGCTGTACCCCCTCAGCTGGGTGGGTTCATCACATTCAAGTGTCCAATTTAGTGGCATTTAGTACACTGACAGAGTCGTCCAAGCACCACCACCACCTCGTCCTTTTTGTCACCCCGAAGGGAGACCCCAGGCCCATTAGCTGGGGCTCGCATCGCCTCCTTCCCTCCCTCCAAGCAACCAGGCGCCTGTCTCTGGCGTTCCCTGCTGGGTCGCTTGCCTCTGGCTCTGCCACTTGGTCGTGTTCTCAAGGCTCAGCCAAGACGCAGCAGCACATCCTTTTTTACAGCTGAGTAATATTCCTCCGGCATCCATTCATCTGCTCAGGGGCACTGTTAGGGTCAGGGTGTCCACTCTGGCAATGGCAAACTGTCCGGTACACGCTTTGCTTGAGCCCCTGGTGGCGCAGGGGTCAGTTTCACTATCGGGGATCGAGGCTCCGTGCTGTGCCCCAGGGCAGCTGCGCACACCCCTCCCCCCCCATGCCCTCACCCACTGCCCCGCCCAGCGAGAGCCCTGCGGGCACTGCAGAGTGGGCCTCCGGGGCTCTGGGCGCCTCGCCTGCCCGCTGGCCATCCGTGGTGTTTGCTCCAGGCTGTTGCTTTTAACTGGGCTGTCTTCTTGCTGTTGGACTGTGGCGACTCCTGTCTATTCTGGGTGCGCCCCCCTTCACCGGCCGCCTGCCGCTGGGCTTTGGCGTCTCCCCCGACTGCAGCTCTGTCCCTGCTCTCAGGGCTTCCGCTCTCGTTTTTCGTCCGGGACCCACCTTCAGCGGTTGTGCAGGAGGCCTGGGCCCGGGGTCCCGGGGCCCCCCGAGCCGTCGTGCCTGGAAGGCCGCCTGCCTCGAAGACTCGGACTTGCGCCTGTTCTCCGCGGGGTCGGGGGTTCCCACCGGCGCGGCTTCCTCGGAGGCTGGACGGCGGGGCGCACCCAGCGGGGCCGCCGGCC